CTGGCCTCGAACTCACAGAGATCCGCCTGGCTCTGCCTCCTGAGTGCTGGGATTAAAGGCGTGCGCCACCAACGCCCGGCGTTTGTTTGTTTGTTTTCAAGACAGGGTTTCTCTGTGTAGCCTTGGCTGTCCTGGAACTCACTCTGTAGACCAGGCTGGCCTCGAACTCAGAGTTCTGCCTGCCTCTGCTCCCTGAGTGCTGGGATTAAAGACATGCACCACCACACCAGGCAGGAGAACTTCAGGTCTTAATAGAGTTAAAAATTAAATTAATTATGTTAGGAATACAAACTGTAGCTGAGAAGTTATTGGTTGGTAAATGATAGTAATAGGGAAAAGAGAAAACAGAAAAAGATGGCACCGGAAAGAACCTGAGGACTGAAGAAAGGTGTACTGTAGGGTCAGGTAGAAAACTAAGTGAAGGTCCCTCCCTCCCTCCCTCCTCCTGCCCCCACCAGGTCCTAATGTAGCCATGTTGACCTTGAACTCACGATTGGCCCTCCTGTCTCAGCCTCCCGGTGCTGTGATGAGCGGTGTGAGTCACACGCGGCTAGGGTGGTAAGAGTTCAGCCCTATGCTTGTGCTCCGCAGTCAAGTGTCGGGAGAGAGGACAGCATTCCATGGAGCTTTTTCAGGGGAGTGGATGAGAATTCTTCAAGTAATACTCCCTTCTTTTTCAGGGACAAACCTACACACACATGAAAACTGGACAGGACCTTGTTTTGTGAAACAAGAAAACCTACAGAAGCCTGGGACAGTGAAGAACCAAGAAGATGAAGTCATTGGTAAGGAGAACTTAAGATGCCTGTGCTGATGGGTGACCCTTCTAAGCCACAGTGGAGATGACTGGCTGACGTGTGATCAGAGGCCAGCTCGGTAGCTCTGGGAGCCCCAGATAGATGCAGGGAGCCATGGGCTTTGGCATTCCTTTAACTAGGAAATTAGGCAGGAAATGGGGAATTTTTAAGAGATATGGGAGGTAATAGTCACAAGGGATATGTTAGACAAGGAAGCCAGGAGGGTTGGGTAGTAAGGGTCGGGGAGGAGACAAAACAGGCAGAAGCAGAAAGCGCTGGAGATCCACAGAGTGAGAGACGGCAGAGGGAGGAGCCAGCAGGGGCGGAGAAAGGGGCGGAGCCAACAGGGGCGGAGAAAGGGGCGGAGCCAGCAGGGCGGAGAAAGGGGCGGAGACAGCAGGAAGCGGGACAGGAGAGTAAGGAGATGGAGATGACAGGCAAGGCTTTGAGACACCACAGCCAGGGAGGTGTCCCTCAAAGTCAGCACCGAGTAAAGCACTCCGGAGGGACCAGCTACGGCAGGGCATTGCTACCGAAGCAGTACCCAAGCTTCTGGGTCTTCCTGCTGTCTGCATTCTGGGCTTCCAGTGAGTCAGCTTTGAGGTAGTTCTCTGAGAGCCCCAAGGAGTTTTTTATTGCTGTGCAGTGATCAGCAGTGAGGGCTCAGAATGCAGTGATGAGGACGACGAGAAGGAACTCCTGGAAGTCTTCGCCTTGACACCAGGAATCAGGAGGCAGATAGAAGAGGAGGGTGAGGATCATGTACCCTGGGCTCCAGAACTCAGAACTTCCCTCAGGAACTCACGCCTCCTGTTTCCTGACTCACCACCCTTGGGGGACATCGAAGAGCCCAGCCGTCCATTCTCTGCACCTTACTTTTTCTGATGCTGTGAGGATGTGGAGGGTTTAACAGGGTTCCAGACCTTAGTAAGCCTCAAGTCCTTAGCACAACTGACTCCATGATGGAAGCACCATTCAAATGTAAAACTCAGCATGTGGACAGCACCACCCACCAAAATGAAAACAAAGAACTACTCCATCAAAGCCCACAGTTCTGGAAAAGTCTCTAAATGTACTAACCTCACTTTTTGGCTTCTGTAGTTCTGCTTCTGGCCAACTGTTCTTGTAACCGAAATATGTCAACCTAGGACATGGTTTCTTGTGCTTAAAAGCTCACCTTGGGCCTACACTGGGATCTGGAACACCTAGTGTAATAATTGGTTGGCTAATGGAGATTTTCATTGGCTTAAATACATGTCCAAGCAGTCTTGTCTGGTGGATACCTCACAACAGGCAATGTTCTCTGACTTTGTTGATGTATTGATAGTACAGTCAAAAGAAAATTATGTACTTACAAGTTTTATTTTGATTTTTCCCTTTCACATAACCATGCCTATCTGAAGCATAATAAAACATATATTTGGCCTTTATCCCCATTTCTTTGCATAGAGCTCTTGGAACTTCCTGGGTGCTCACTAGCTGCCTATATTTGTGAGTATCTAAGAGGATGAGGCAGGAGGCTAGCTTGGACTACAAAGTGATGTTGCTGGGAGTCTCTGTCTGGAGCAGGTGTTTTTTCAGGCATGCTGTTCAAAGAATTGAAGAAGCACAAACAAATAGAAAAGTAGAAAAGGGATTTTATTTAGAAACAAAGTTGTAAGTTCCCAAGACCTCCCTGGGCAACTGACATCCTGGGTGGCAAGTTGAGGCATGAATGGTGGGTAAGCCGCCCTGCCAGGCATGAGTGAACCAACCAATGAGAACAAGGTAAGTGGACCACAGGACAGTGTTCCTAGGAAAGTCCCTAACCTTTGAACCTTGATTGGTGGGAAAAGACAACTGCAGCCTGGTGCAGATGTTTGTGGTTTTTGTGCTTAAATGTTTGCTGACATGAACATCTGGGGATGCAGTCAGCTCCCAAGTCTGTGCTGCTTTCCCTGACGGGTCTTCTGTTGTGCTGCCCAGTAATACAATCTTGCTTTGCGTGACCTCTTGTGTGTGCTTGGGTTGTTCCAGAGCCTCAGACCCACAAATATATATATTTGTATGATAGTTTTGTTTCCCTGGTTTTGAATGAGTGGGTTTATAGCAAGCCAAAGTAAAAGAATAAACAGTAAGTGATAGACAGACAAACAGATTGGATAGATAGATAGATAGATAGATAGATAGCAAAAATCATCTGATTGGATGCTCAAACAGCCAGCTGACATAGACTGAGACAGTCATTTGGAGTTCCACATAGACAGAGTCCAGGCCAGAGCAGGATTTCTTCAGGTGAGGCTTCCAAGCAAAAGAACAGAGAGCAGCAGTGTAGGATATAATGTTTCAGGAATAATTTGATAAATTATGGGAAAAACCAACCTGCTTATCCATCAATAGAGTCAGGGAATGTTCAAGAAAACCTTTGCCTGATGGGCCCAAGTTTTGTTTTGTTTTGAGACAAGGTCTTTTTAAATAGCCCTGGCTGTCCTGGAACTTTCTCTGTAAACCAGGCTGGTCTTGAACTCACAGAGATCCACCTGCCTCTGCCTCTGACTGCTGGAATTAAGGTGTGCACTACGTCCAGTTTTTACCTGAGGCTAACCTTTGGGGTTCATTTTGAAGACAAAGTATATGTCCCCAGTTGGTTTATTGTTCTAGTCTCCCTTTTTTATATATTTTTATTTTAAATGCTTCCTAGAAAATAGGGTTTAATCTTGAACAGGTGAACTCAGTAACTTTATAGAATTTAACAGAGTGTCTTTTTTTGTTTGTGGGGGGGTGTTTCAAGACAGGGTTTCTCTGAGTAGCTTTGGTGCCTTTTCCTGGAACTCACTCTGTAGCCCAGGCTGGCCTCAAACTCACAGAGATCCTCCTCCCTCTGCCTCCAGAATGCTGAGATTAAAGGCGTGCGCCAACACCGCCCAGCCCAGAGTGTCCTTTTAAAACTGGCTGAAGTTTGGCTATGGGAAAGACAGTTGTTTTGACTATTCTTTCCTTTTGGGTATTTAAGATCATGTAGGTGGCCAAAAATAAATCTTCCTGTTTGTAAAGTCTGTCGAGACTCTTGTATGTGTTCTTCTTGGGGATTTAGAATTGACCCATCGACGCCCTTCGCTTTCCTCTATCAGCCATGTCATCTGCAGGGCCAGGTCAGAGTCCCGATGGCCATGTGCCCTCCTTTGGAAGCATAGGGAACATGTCTCTCTCCATTGATTCTCCTCCCTGTGGAATGTACATGGATCAGAATTTAACTGTTAGAGACTCTGTGGTCTGTCTGATCAAGAGGCCAGGAGACTTAGCAGGGCTCCCTGTCCATGAGGTACTGGCTGGCCTTGGAGTGTAAGGGTTTAAAAATTGGCTTTCTTTTTGAGCCCCTTACCTCCACAGAAGGACAACCTTACCTGTTTCATGATTCTAAATCGTGTGTAACATTTCGAGAGAGTTTAGACAAATAAACAAACAAAAACTCACAAAAACAAAACATGTCTTGGTTAGGGTTTCTATTGCTGTGCTAAACACCATGAGCAAAACTGACTTGGGGAGAAAAGGGTTCATTTCAATGTTTAGCTTGGAGACTATCATTCAAGGAAGTCAGGGTGGGGACTCAAGGCAGGAACCTGGAAGCCGGAACTATTGTAGACCCAGGGAGGGGAGCTGCTGACTGGCTTGCTTCCATGACTTGCTTTCTTACAGCACCCAGGGCCACCAGCCCCGGGGGTGGCTCTGTCTATAATAAGCTAGGATCTCCCACATTATTCCTCAATCAAAAATAGGCCCTGCAGGCCATTCTGGTGCTGGCACTCTCTCTGCTGATGATCTCTCTTTCCAAATAAATCTGGCTTGTGTCAAGTTGACATAAAACCAGCCACCACAAAGCAGTTTTTAACTAAGTCCTAATTTTGCTATGACTCACTTTCAGAAGTGATTAAAAGTCTAACAAAGTTGGAAAAACCCAAGCAACCATCTTGATTAGACACACATTTTTGTTGTTTAAGCTGGTTATTCCAAATGTTGCTATAAGCAGATCAATATCTTCAGGAATTTTAATAACCTTCAAAACAAGAACTGAATCCAAAATACATACATGACACAGCATAGCAAACCGAGGTTTTGTGCCGGTACATGTTGTTGAAAATCTCAGACAAAGCTGCTGAGCACTTGGATTTTTATCTTCTTCTCCCTGTGATCTCACAGTTTGGGAGTTACAGAAAGTTTTACATTCACCAATGAGTCTGTCTGCATATCAATGACTTTGAGCAGCGAACACTCTTTGTAAAGAAAAAGCAGAGGAGAAAAAGGTTAGCATCCAGGCCCTTACACACCTTAATAACGTGCATTTGCACACCTTAAAACACCTTCTTAGGCGGGTGGTGGTGGCGCATGCCTTTAATCCCAGCACTCGGGAGTCAGAGGCAGACAGATCTTTGTGAGTTCGAGGCCAACCTGGTGGTCTACAGAGTGAGATCCAGGAAAGGTGCAAAGCTACAGAGAAACCCTGTCTAGAAAAACAAACAAACAAAACAAAAACAAAAACAAAAAAACCCCAAAACAAAACTAAACAAACAAACAAACAAATAAAAAACACCTTCCTAGACCCTAAAACGTTTTCGTGGATCCTCAGGCTTTCATATCTTCACATAAACGCTACACCTTAAAATACCTTCTTTCTATCTCATTCTCCAGGAGATACGGGTGGTTGATTACTGAGGGCAGTCATTGTAGAGGGAGGTCCTTTAAATAAAATGAAGAGTAAAAAGTTACATTGAAATCTGTTCTGTGAGTTTATCTCTTGTCTGAGTGTGGTAACAAGGTTAGTTGTGTCTAGACTTGGTCGTAGCTCTAGGAGAGAGAGGCCTGTGGCCCGAATTTGACATACAGAGAACTGAGAAGGCCTCTGAAGCCTTGGTTGCTGCCTAGTCATCAACACCATCAGAGCTCTGAGATGGATGAATTTTACCTGAGTAAGTACAAGTGCAGACCAAGCAGCTTCTAAATCTATTAGAAATGACAGAGACTTACTGGCTACTGAGCTGGTATTTTACAGGTCCACTCTTTCTTCAAGAAGTATGCCAAGGCTAACCTGCAGGGGCCTCCAGATACACCAGTCCCTGCACCAGCTCAGAGAACACCAACTGGGTGAGTACTGGCAGGTTGACTTCACCCACATGCCCACTTACAAAACGCTCTGCTATCTCTTATCTCTTATTGACACCTTTATAGGATGGATAGAGGCACTCCCGTCTCCAGGGAAATAGCAGATGTGATGACTCAGGTACTCCTGGAACTCATCATCCCCAAATTTGGCAAGCCATCCCCCCAAGCTCCTGGGATATCAATGCTGGTACCACCTCTCCAGGCTCAAGTGGGCGCCTTTCCAGGATGGATGGTCTGTCCAGCAACTGGGACCCTCTACCCTCTGGTTTTCCAGATTGTCCCAATGAAGGGCCTATCTGCTTTTCTGCCCTGCTCATTCATCTTTGTCAGTACAACCAGGGCACATCTCTTACTGGCAATCTTACTGGCAATCTCCACTCTCCCCATGACTAGTCCCATTCATAGGGCCGGTGATAACAACCTATTTTTTTCTCCTAGCAACTTGCCTTTTCTGTTTCCTCAAGAAACAGATCCCTGAGGCCTCCAGGATGGCAGTTAACAGAATGCTTCTTCACCCACAGCTCTCTTTGAGCATGAGCTCACTGACTCCCGGCTCCTCCTCCCCACAGCATCCCATGCCAACAGAAAGTAGCCAGACTTGAACTAGCACCCATACATCCAGGAAGGTTGGGATATTCCAATGGAAGCTCCACCTCCGCTTTCCTTCTTTCTGGCCAAACACTGACCTTCAGAAAGCCTGGTAAACCACAGCTCCTCCCCCAGAGCCGCTCAAGACCACGCCTACAGGGTATTTCAGCTCTGGTCCATAGACCTGCCATGTGCTGGGTGGGGGATGAGGGGAGTGGGGGTGGGGGGGTGGAGGTGGGTGGGTGGGGGGGTGGGGGGTGGGTTGTGGGGGCCCACCTCACTTCTTGGGGGACTTGCGAGTCACCGCAGAGAGCTTTGCTCATTAAATCTGGACTATTAATTCCGCTTAGTCTGGCTTATTGCTTCAGCAGAGAAACCTACTGCCAGGGATACAAAAATACTTATCAAGCTACAGTGTCACATCTTGGCTGCTGCTGCTGCTGCGTCCTGCTAGGTCCTTGAGAGCAGGCCAGTGTAAATGCCTGAATGTTAACACTGAAAGTCCCTGGAGTGCTTCTCTCCTGACATGCTCACCCTGTAAGCTGCAGTTTCAGACACAGAAGATGTTTGTTCCTTTATCTAGCAGTCTGAGCAGAGGCCAGATGTCTGTGGGGTGAATCATCATTCCACCCATTGTCTCGTCCTCCTCCCTCTTTCACTTTTTATAAGAGCCACTACTTTCAAATAGAAATAGCACCTTGTAGAG